AGTGATAGAATCAAAGCCATTGTGGAGGCAGCTGGAACATTCCTTGACATGAAAGATATTAAAGCAGATCAGATACATGCAATGCTAACTATAAATGGAGCTGGGGAAAATGAAAATCAGGATGAGGGTTAGATCCTTAATCATGGTGCTGCACATACTACAGTGGAACGCAAGAAGCCTCATAGCTAATGGGCAAGAATTCAAGAAATATATATATGATCTAGAGGTAGTCCCTGAGGTAATATGTGTGCAAGAAACCTGGTTACGACCTCAATTAGACTTTGTCATTCCAGGATTTAGCTGTATAAGGCATGATAGAGATAATAATCAAAATGGTGGAGGGTGTGCCACGTTTCTCAAAGATGGTGTGGCATATAGGGAGGTGCAATCTCCTGATGATATAGAGTGTATTATAGTGGAAATCTGCAACCCTAGGAAACAAGATAACATTCGGATAATCAATTTAAACAACCCATGTAAAAATCTAACCACTGATATATTTAAAGAAATAGCAGGCAATAAACATCGGAAGGAAGTTTGGTGTGGTGATTTCAATGCACACAACAGTCTATGGGGCAGCAACCATACAGACAGTAACGGAAATATAGTGGAAGAAATGCTGGAGGAAAGAACACTAGTATGCCTTAATGATGGACATGGCACAAGAGTAGATGTACACAGGGGGAAAGTCTCATGCCTGGATCTGACATTAGTGTCAAACTGTTTGGTTCATACATGCGAATGGTTTGTTTTGAATAACTCCACAGTAGGAAGTGACCATTATCCAGTGCTTACTAAAATGAATACTAATGTATATATACAGGAAGGAGGTGCAATAACCAGGTGGTGCTTTGCTAAAGCTGATTGGGGGAAATGTAGGATATGGTGTGAGGAGTCGGTACACCTGCTAACATCAGAGGGAAGCATAGAGGTAATTACAAGCCAAATAACGCAACATATTCTAAATGCAGCAGAGAACAGTATACCCAAAACAACAACCAAGGGTAGGAAGAAAGTGGTGCCATGGTGGAATGAGGAATGCAGCAGGGCTATTAAAGAGCGAACTAATGCATTGAGAGAATTAAAGAAAAACATGACACAAAATAATGTTATAGAGTTTCAAAGGAAAAGGGCAGCTGCTCGAAGGACAATCAAATACACAAAAAAAAGAACATGGAGAGAATTTTGTTCTACCATTGGCAGAGGAGTAAAATTAGGTGATGTCTGGTCCATGTTTAAGCGGATGAGTGGGAAAAGGAAATCCATTAAAATTCCAGCTTTGGTTGATGGGGAGAGGCTGGCAGTGACAGATAAAGAGAAGGCAGACATGTTAGGAAGGACACTTGCAGCAGTACATAGCGGGGAACATCTCAGTGATATTCATAGGCAGCAAAAACAGCAGTTACTAGCAGAGAATGAAAACGTGAAGGAGAAGAGACAGGATAATAGGTCAGCTCTTGATGTGGAATTTACAATGTCAGAACTCAAAATAGCCTTACAAGGTACAGGATATACAGCCCCAGGACAAGACCAGCTATCTTATGCTATGTTTAGACAGTTGCCTATTGAAGGAAAAAGATATGATTCTACACTGTATTGAAGTAAACATGTATTGTTTGAACGGGTTTTGATAATCACTTAGAAAAAGAATGTTATTCTCACTTTTAAACTCACTGATCCAGAGATTCTGTGTTTCACACACCAACATTGGCTGTTATCATCTCTAAGAGCCAGATGCTGTTTCTAAGTCGTTAAAGACATCGTAAAATAGGAAAAGATCCCCTGGAAAAGGTAGGGAGGGGAGATCGGGACGGAGATAAGAATTGACTTTTGACCTTAGGGGACTTTGGAATTTCAAGTCCTGGAGAGAACTATTGAACCCGGCCAGAAGCGAATCCAGCCAGTCAGGGCACTTGGGGGAGGTGGTCAGTTTAAACAGCTCCTCCCCAGGGGTTCTCTGATTCGCTTGGGAGAAAAGTGGGAAGGAAGAATCGACAAATCTCCGCCCCAAAGACAGATAGAAATACTGATGATTTTGAGTGTAAAATGCTTCTGGTCTGTTGAAAGCTGGTGCTAGAAGACGGTAAACCGCATCACAAACCTGGAGTCCATACTTCTCGTTTTCTGAAAGCTGGTCTGTCTACCTGTAAAACCGCATCATCAGGCCTGAAGCCCGGAGTACTCGAGTACTCTGTATAACTTGTATATGTGTTTGGTTTCCTACTAGAAGTAAACTCAGATAATTTGTTATAACTTTGATTCCGGTGTTTTCAATTCCTTTCTTAATTTAATAGAGATCCAGCCTCATCCAACGAACGGCGCGTAGCAGAGGTATTCTACCCCAACACTATGGAAACTATGACAATGGTGCTGAGTCTTTCAATAAAATCTGGAGAGAAGGAGATATGCCAAGTTTGTGGAAAACAGCAGTCGTGCTACCATTCAATAAGCCAGGGAAAGATGCAGCTAACCCTAGTAACTACAGACCAATAGCTCTTACATCACACCTATGTAAATGGATGGAAAAGATCATTGTCCGTAGGCTCTCACATGTACTGGAGCAGGAAGGGCTGCTGAGTAGTTTTCAGAGCGGATTTCGTAAAGGGCGGTCCACAATAGATGCTTTAGTAAGAGTGAGTAATGATGTGGAAAAAACATTAAAAATGAAAGAGATAATGGCAATAGTGTACTTTGACATTGAAAAGGCGTATGACTGTATGTGGAGGGATGGGTTACTGATCAAATTGAGTAGAATGGGTATTGGAGGGAGAATGTACAATTGGGTAAGGGCCTTTTTAACAGACAGGACATTTAGAGTAAAGGTTGGAGCAGATATTTCCAACTATTTTGAAATAGAAAATGGTATCCCCCAAGGGAGTGCAGTCAGTCCAATATTATTTAACATCATGATCAATGATATATTTACATGTTTAGACACATGCATTCAATCGGCTCTATACGCAGATGATGGGGCTATTTGGATGAGGGGAAGAAATGCCCCATACGTAATGGAGAATATAGCTAGAGCGATTAAACAAGTGTCATATAACTGGGGATTCAAAATGTCAGAAAGCAAGTCATGCTACATGGTATTCACAAACAAACGCAAGATTGATGGCCAACAGCTAACACTATATGATCGTCCAATGACAAAGGTGAATGAGTTCAAATACCTAGGACTGTGGTTTGATAGCAAATATACATGGAAATGCATATTAATCAAGTGGAAACAAAATGCAAAAAAGTATTAAATGTATTGCGAGCTGTAGCTGGATGCAACTGGGGCGCAGACAAACAAGCATTAATAAACATTTACAGATCAATTATGAGGTCCACAATAGATTATGGTTGTATAGTGTATGGAGCAGCAGCAAAAACATCGCTTTTAAAAATTGATAGAATACAATATAAAGCATTGCGGTTGTGTATTGGAGCGATAAAGTCATCCCCTATCAATGCAGTTCTGATAGAAGCAGGAGAGACACCTCTGGAGATCAGAAGAGAGAAACTTGCTCTGTCATACTGGGTCAGGCTACAAGGAAGTGGAGAAGAAGATATTTCAAACAGAATATTACAGGATTGCTGGGAATATGCAAAGTTCCAGGGACGTGGGTTTGGCTGGACGAGTAAGGAGAGAACGAGGGCATATGGAGTGGAGAATATCACGTTTGCTAAAGCAACCCCATTTAGCAGTGTTCCCCCATGGCTTTTCCCAGAAGCTAAAATAGATATGAGTATTGTAGAAAGGAAAAAAGAGTGGCAAGTAAATGAAGTTGGAATTAAAACAAGTATGTATCTGAATGAAAAGTATTACAATTGCCTACAAATGTACACATATGGTTCTAAGAACAAAGAAGAGTGTGTTGGAGTTGGTATATACATCCCAGACTTTAAAATATCTATTTCAAAAAGAGCGTCTGATCAATTATCAGTGTACACAGCAGAAATGCTTGCTGTAATAATAGGATTACAGTGGGTTGAAGAGGTCAGACCAGATAGGGTGGTGATATGCACAGATTCATTGTCCATATTACAAAGCATACAATCAACAACAACTGCCAGAGAAGACATTCTCATAGAACTGAATCATAGCCTGTTAAGACTTCACAGAGGCGGTATAGATCTGCAGTTCTGCTGGGTGCCTGCACATGAGGGGGTGAAAGGGAACGAGTGTGCTGATAAATTAGCAAAAAGTGCACTACAAAAGGAAATAACATTACCAGTTCAACTTGGTAAAGGAGAAGGAAAAGCAGTAATTAAGAAGAAAGGGATGGAGATCTGGCAGAAAAGGTGGGAGAAAGACCAGAAAGGCAAAGAATATCACAAAGTACAAAAGACAATTACAATTCATATTTATAAAGAAAGAAACAGAAGGGAGGAAATCACGATCGCTAGACTCAGAATAAATCACACAGCATTGAATGGTACTCTGTATATCATGGGGAAAAGTGACAGTGACAAGTGTGGGAGCTGTGGAGTAAAAGAAGATGTAGAACATATCTTGATACATTGTGACATATATAAAGCGGAAAGAGAAAAACTAAAGGCTAAAGTTTTAGAGGCAGAGAGGGAGTGGAGTGTGGTTGGTATTTTGGGAACAAAAGGAGAGGGAGTGAGAGCTACCAGAAAGGCACTGTTTACATTCTTGAGTGAAACTGGGGTAGGAAAAAGAATTTAACATTAGGTCAAGAAAGAACATAGATTTTTATTTTTGTTTTATTTATTTCATGTTTTTTTTTTTTTTTGATTTATTTATTTATTTTGATTAGATCATAGGTTAAAGAGTTGGTATGATATGATGATTCATACTCATGTACAGTAGGTGGCGGTATGCACCTTTTAAGTTGTTTGCAATCCGCCAAAAAACGAAGAGAAGCAGAAGAAGAAGTGGTTTGGGATTGGGCCTAAATCACATATGATATTTTACCCTCCCGTCCAGTAGCGGGCAGCATGCACTCTTTCTGATCTGCCTTGTCTTTGAAACAGCGAAGAAGAAACTGCAGCCTTTGCGATTTTCGCGGGAAATCCTGTCTGCGGCGGTGTTTTCTTTTGAGGCTGTTTCTTTAAAAGCGTATCTTCTTCCTATGCGGTGTTTGAATGAAATCAAACAGAGCTTTTTTTATCTATATTAATTATTGCTTGTATTGTTTTATCTGAACTGCAGCAGACAGCAAGGAAACAGGATGAAGTATTTCACCCGGCTGAGAGTCAGACGAGTCTACAAGTGGCGAGGAAAGCCCATCAGTTTCAACAGGAAGTTAAAAACATGTGAATATGCGTGAGTATCTTTCAGTAGTCACTTCGAAAGGAGAACGCTTTTCAGTCGCGAAGGAAATATTCCGATTGTTTGCTGAAGTACACGTAGGCTACCACAGTGAAATACTCGTGCATTGGAAACCTTAGTGAAGTACACGCGTGTAGGGAACATGACTGCTTAAAGAGCAGACTGCTCTTTAAGCGCTTTTAGTGGTTTAATATATAATGTCTGGATGAATGTTACTGCAGCATTATTGTGTGTTACATTTCCCTTCTGTAGTTGTATTAGGTATTTCTAATGTTAACTTCTTTATATACTGTTAGGTAGTTTAATCTGAAGCAATCCGTCATATTGTATAATCCTACTGTATGTTTGTAGCTCTGCTGTGATGTGAAACCACGTTCCTCAGTAGTCCTGTTTCCTGTTTCAGATTGTGATGATGCATTTTCTAGCTGATCTAAGAGGCTTTTAAAACGGTTTATATCTTCAGCAGAATTGTCAACACATGAATGAACATTTCATCTTTTAGTTTATCAAAATAAACATATCTGGAGATAGTTTAATCTGTTTAATTGAATTATTAGTATATGCTTCATAAATGTGTTCATCACTTTAATGTTGCAGGTGATCAATGTGGAGCTCATTTTAATTACTTAAGTACTTTAATCTGTGATAATACATGCATATTTTATTTGGTGGTAATGTTTTTTAAATTAATAATCTGAATATGTGTATATCCCAGCTCTTTGGACATTAGTGTGGAGGGTCTCCCCAGGGTCACTGTCATTAAAACTGGCCAACACATCCTCATAGAGGGAGACAATGAAGACAACCCATACGTGGCCAAAGTCATCCGGCTGTATGGAGACGGTAAGAGACTCAATGCTATACTTGACTTTGTCCCCAAAGACTGTAACTGAAAATCTTTTTCTCTCTCACTTCGGGTTTCAGAGAACGGGAAACAAAAGAAAGTGGTGGTTCAGTGGTTTGTTCGTGTGTCTGAAGTGCCTTTGAGCAAGCTGAAGCTGCTGGGCAGAGAGCCCCACCCTCAGGAGATCTTCTACTACCAGGGCCGCAGCTGTGACGATGAGGTGGACGCCGAGTCCATCCTCAGACCTGTGAAGGTGACTTTTAGTGACATCTGAATAACATGAGAGTATTCCTTTCATTTATTCATTGTTTTTTCTTTATGAACTGGACAAGTGTGCTTTTGTTAGGTCTTGATAACTGCAGTTCAAACAACACCAAATTATAAACATTTGAATAAACTATAATAATTAAAGAAATAAAAGCCGAAGCTAATTATCGTAAAACTAGGATTTCACTGATCATTCCTTAGGCCTAGGCTCCACGGGAAAGAAAACGGGTTGTATCCAATTTCTCTTGCGTATAGCCCTTTAAGCTACACGACGCCGTAACGGAACGGTAGAAACGGACCCTGCAAACGGGTCCAAAGGTGGATAGATCTGGGAACGGAGCACTCTGGGGGGTCCAACGGGGCCGTGTGGTAGCCTATACGGTCATCCGTTTCTGATAATGACGACGCAATAGCCCTGCCTCTCCCCGCCTCTGCTGCTCACCCCCGCGTCAAAGTACACTGCACACTGAATTCAGATTATTTATCTTTATCTCGATATGGACATAAACGCGAGTGAAGTCTAATCTGACAGGACGGAGACACGCTGCATCACAGCGGGAGCAAAACACACACTTCAAGTCAGATCATCACCCTTAGCTATTTTAATTACCTCTCAAACTACCTAAACTAGTTATAAATATGTTTATTTTTACTGTCGGGTTTACTTACTGGATCAGCTGCTGCATGAGGAAGCATGAAGATTTAAACTTTAACACACGTTGACCTGCGAAAAACTCTGCCCGGTTCCCTCGGCCCCCACCACGGAGAATAAACAGAAGTGCAGCCATGACAACCATTCTTCTTCGCTGCTTTTGTGGAGGAAGTTGCTGCTTTTGTGGGGGAAGTTACAGCGCCACGTACAGGCTCGGCATATGTACTGCAGCTTTTCCAGCGGTTGGATGTAAACGGAGCCGTCTCGTGGAGCTTGACACAATCCGGTGTATATTGCGTGTGGGCGGAAGCTTTTTGGCGATTGCGTTTGCGTTAATCCTATGCGTTCTGCCGTATGCGTTCCCGTGGAGCCTGGGCCTTAATTGGGTCCTTCTCAGAGTCGGATGTGACACTTATGTTTACTTAAAGGTTGATTAAACTTATGTCAGACTGACACATTGAAACGACACGTCTAGCCTACTCCATTGGCTGCCTTAAGAACTCTCACATGGTTTAAAGTTCAATCTAACCAGAACAGTGGGGTTCAGTAAAAAAGGATTGGACATTGATTGACTTTATTTTAGCTTGATCACGACCCAATTAATTATTCCCAGGATGATCCCAATCCCAAAAGCTGTGATTTTGTGTCAGTTGCAAGTTTGACAGTAATGTAATGCCATGCTAAATTAGTGTAATTATTAGTGTGTGTACGAGTTTATCAACACCACTGAAGTAGTTTTCTGATGTCAAATATCTTCATGGACAGGTCCTCCAAGAAGCAAGAGGGAAAATGTTTGCTTTTAAACCCTTTAAACATTTTACACTAACCCTCTATGTGTCTGTCCTGTGTTCACAGGTACAGCGTCTGGATGGAGCAGCTCCATTCCCAGACTCTGACGACCAAGACACCCTGTATGTGAAGCTGTCCTGGGACTCGAAAACCTTTAAGTCGGTTGACTCTGCTCAGGTGGATTCTGATCTTTCTCCAGATTCCTCCTCTTCTCCTCCCTGTTCCAGATCATCCCTCCCCCCCTCAACCCCTTGCTCTCCCCCTGCAGCGACTCCAGCGTCCCGAGGCCCTGCCCGACGCGCCCTGCCCACTCCGGATCTCGCCATCATGCGCCGGGCAGCTCCCGGGGAAGTGAGATACTCCAAGGCCACCATGAGTGCAGGGAAACCCAGTACTGCAGAGGCAGAGTCAATGCACTCAGCCACCAAACGGTCTGCCTCAAAATGCCTGAGCGCCAAACGGAGGAATGCCTTTGCAAGGATGCCCGGCATCCGCAAGAAACTGGAGCTCAGCAGTGAGTGTTACATACATACATACTTGCATACTTACATACATACATGCACAGGTATACATACTTAGATAAACTCATATATATACATGCATACGCCTTCTTTGCCGATGTTAGTATTAGCAGATTTTAGTTTATTGTGTAATTATCAGTTTTGGCTAGGGGTGCATACCGGTTCCCGGTATTACCGAAATACCGGTTACTACGGTATACCGTACCGAAATCAGATCCAGTTTTCGATACCTTTTCGACTTTTTTTTTATATAAAGTTAGGTGTAATATCCATAAACTCACGCCCAAACCGCCAGCCAGATCAGTCTGCGCGTCTTGCAGATTGCAGATTGCGCGTCTTGCAACGGCTTCGGTGATTGGCTTGATTGCCAAGCAACGCCCTTCACCTTCCTCCCGAACGTCTGAGCCTTTCGGTTAGCTTTCGTTTTTTCATTAGCTCGATGTCGGCACGAAAATCTAAAGTGTGGCTGCATATGACTGCCAGTCTGAATGGTGGGGTCTGTACGTTTATTTCCGGGAAAGGCGGCAACACATCCAACCTCTCAAAACATTTGCTACTGTCACATAAAATCAGAGTACAGGAATGTACAGTCTTCAAGCCCGTGTTGTCAAACGTGTTTTTCATTGTTTGTTCAGTACTAAAAGGTTGAAGTCCCACAATTAATTGTAATATTCATTTGACATGTTAACTATATCATAAAGCACTTCAATTTTTCCCTTATGCAACATGAAAGTATCACGATATGTATCGGTATCGTTCAGTGGTAGCGGTATCGTAAAAAAGTCAACGATATGCATCCCTAGTTTTGGCAAATGCAATTTCTTGCTGCCTGTTGGCTGATGTACAACATAAAATGATATGTGATGACCTAAGCTGATCCAGACAGAATTCAAATGGTCTATTCTCTGCTTAAAGCTACAGTTTGTAACTTTATTACAAATAACTCTTATCATATTTGCTAAAACTATCACATAATCCTGATAGGAGTCTAATTTAAGTGTCAATCACTGTTCTTAAACTCTGATCGAACTGTTAAACTAGACAGCGCTAATCAAATATGCACTCTGCCCCAGAGTCCTGCATCGGGTCGGTACCCGACGGGTGACCCGCAAAAAAAGTGATTCGCGGGTGGTATTTTTTCAACGGGTTCGGTTCTGGGTAAAACAAAGAAGATGCGGGTTGGATTGCGGGTGTTTCATAATAAATATATTAAAATAATAATAATGTAATTGTTTAAACCCTCAGACCTCTCCCCCGCGCATAATCCTAACCTCTGCACCGCATCAATCTGCTGCTGAGCGCGCAACATTCGAAATGGCTGAGGACGTGAAGGCGATGCTCGGAGAATACAGCATTGTCAATAACTCTTCCTCAAGAGCAAAATCCAACGTCTGGGAGGCTTTTGGTGTCATCCTAGATGGAGAAAATAACCAACATCCCACGCATTTTGAGCCAAATACGCAACTGCGTGTGTTAATAATTGCATGTTTTCAGCTCATAGCGCGTGTTCGGGTCGATTTGCGGATCTTGTGCCCACGGGTCGGGTCGGTTTGTGGAACTAATTGGCAATATGTGCGGGTAAATACGTTATGATAGAGTAGGCAGTTTAAGCATTTTCATATATGATAGATCATTCTGCTCGTTTCTGAAATCCTGAGGTCACGTTTTCTCTCCTGGTTTTGTCAGGTCCAGAAAAGAAGTCTGTGATTGCTGAGGACCACCTGAACCAGCTGCTGGACGAGGACCCAGAGTCGGAGCTGATGTTGGCTCAGAGACTGTCGTCTTCCCCTCCTCAGGCCGTGCTGCTCAAACACAGCCTCACTCCCCTAAGGAAGAACCTGAAGCCGTCTGTCCTCCTCAACAAAATGTGTCTGTCTGAGATCAACAGCTCTCCATCATCAGACCACTCCACCAGGTCAGAGTCGGCTCTCACGCAGTCACAGCACCCAGAGTATATTGGCAAAAAAAAACGTAGCTGTGCTAGCAGCACAGAGAAATATGTCAGTCTTTTAAAAAATAAATAAAGATCTCAACAACAATTGGATGGATTTTGATGAAATGTGGTTCACACGTTCACATTTCCTCTATAATGAATTGTAATAACTTTTGTGATCCTCCGACTCCTCCTAGGGCCATCACCAGGTCAACATCTTAATATGTCCAATAATCAAGACAATTTGAATAAGGGACAAGTCTACACTGGATTATTTAATTTTCATAGACCCAACATAATAACCAGGACAATGTGGCATCTGAACAGCTGATCCAGATAGATCAATGCCAGCCATGTCCACAGGTTTTTTGACCTTAAGAGTAGTTGTTCAATAAATAAATACAAACAATATAGTTTGTGTCACCTTGGTTAAAAAACCTGGTTTAACACAGATTTAAACAGATAACTGCTTTAAACCGCTCTTGTGTTGGATAAAAGTCCTCAGCAGGTGGAGTTAATGATGGAGGAAGTGTTACCAAATGGCTTTGTTAGGACACCCAGGGTTGCGGTCCAATAGTCCATTTAGCTTAGGAACCTTCCTAACCGAGTGAAATGACCCGGAAGTACGTCAGTGGCAGCCATGATAAGTGCCGTTCCAATTCTCTAGATCAGGGGTTCCCAACCTTTATTGTGCCAAGGACTGGCAGATACATTAAAAAACAATCGCGGACCGATTGTCAATTTTAACTGATTTTAATATTTACTCGCCACCAGCAGGTAGCAACAGAGGCTAATTGTATGTAACAGCCTGAACAAATACTAGAACAATATGCATCCAAAACATATTAACAAAGTTTAAAAAATAACCGGTGTTTTTTGGTTTTTCGGAAAACCAAAAAACCGACGTTATTCAGTTTTTAAAGTGTGTGTGTGTGTGTGTGTGTGTGTGTGTGTGTGTGTGTGTGTGTGTGTGTGTGTGTGTGTGTGTGTGTGTGTGTGTGTGTGTGGTGTGTGTGTGTGTGGTGTGTGTGTGTGTGTGTGTGTGTGTGTGTGTGTGTGTGTGGTGTGTGTGTGTGTGTGTGTGTGTGTGTGTGTGTGTGTGTGTGTGTGTGTGTGTGTGTGTGTGTGTGTTTGTGTGTGTGTGTGTGTGTGTTGTGTGTGTGTGTGTGTGTGTGTGTGTGTGTGTGTGTGTGTGTGTGTGTGTGTGTGTGTGTGTGTGTGTGTGTGTGTGTGTGTGTGTGTGTGTGTGTGTGTGTGTGTGTGTGTGTGTGTGTGTTTTAATTTATTTTGGGAACAGCTGCATATATGGGTTAGCCATATGTGTGTAAATTACTGTTCATAAACATTTGAAAACAAATGCCGGTGTCGGACAGACACAAACACACCGAACACAGAGAGCTGACCAGAGCACATACACACATCATGCGCCTTGGTGACTGACTGGACATCTCCTTCATAAAACTAATAAAAGGGGTAGTAATCGGGCAGTTCAATGTGTGTGTGGTTAACACGTAGCAGCCTGCAGTCACTCTTAAGCTGTTCTGATGAAGTTAAACACAGCGAATGCGGTGCGTAAAAAGGCACAGCTCTTTACCCGCTGGTGCTGCACTTCTCAGAGGCGGAGTATACGTCCCGCTGCCTCCTGATGCTGCAGCCAAATCATGAAGTGAAGGAGGGTTTCCTTCTATAAAACAGCTGCGGGCAGCAGATACCGTGAGAGTCCCGGACATTAATTCATAGATCAAGGCAGACTGGTTTACTCTCCTGTTTTGCCAATCCGGTGCTTAAACAAATAGCTCCCTCTACACCCCTGGCCGACATGTCCTTAAAATGAAGTCCGAGTTTGAAATATATCTCAAATAATGTATGCACCACCATTTCCCCACATAAACATAACAGTCTGCAATCAAACGGTTGTCTCCTGTGCGCTCCTCTTCCTACTTGGCGCACCGGTAACATGCTCGTGCGCACAAGAGGCTGAGACTTTATAGGCTGAGCCGCCGAATCCCTCGGAACATCATAAAAGCCATTTTCAACGGTTTTCTGGTGAAAGATTAACTAGCTACTGGATGAAATAATATGACTGGTGGCATAGGTGCGAAAATTAAACACTTTTTGAAAAAAATATTATGATAAAATATTTTTATATATTTATAATTCTGCAAATATTACGATAAACTCACAGCTATTTCGCGGCCCGGCAGTAACACCTCCGCGGCCCGGTACCGGTCCACGGACCGGGGGTTGGGAACCCCTGCTCTAGATGATAGGAAAGGAGGTTTCAAACTTCCTTTATAACTTCCTTTAGCTTAGGAACCACTGGACGTCCCTTTACGAAAGGAGAGGAGAAAATGCTGCCCCACAATGCCTTGCGGCCGCAGCATTTGCCGTCCCTCAACAGTCGGCCCGTTCACGGAAACAACCGATTATGACCGAGAAATGATATCATGAAAGTTACGGTGCTTATTAAGCATTTTAAAACGTATGGTAAGTTGCCACAAGTGCTTTGTTTTTAACGTTCATCAGTATTATAATCAAAGAGAGAAATATGAACGTTAGTTTTTACTGAAATGATCAAATAAAGTCAACATATCACAGTTGTTACGCCCAGGTCTAGGGGAACCTAGGCGCAGCACTTTACTGAGCTGTGTGGGGTTTGTTAAACTTTTAAAAAGATGTTTGAATGGTGATATACACAGTGATAGATGTTAAGGACTAACGTTTATAATAAATACAGTATTTATTTTAAGATCTTTTCATACAATCATACGTATTGGGATTATTTGTATTAATGTGGACCGGAGGGAGAGGGTGACGAGCATAAGTTTCACTTTCCTTTTTTATTTCAATTCCAACTTTGGTCATGAAGAATATGTTTCTCTGTTTTCCCCGTTCATAAAGCATAAATCAACAGCATCAGAGCGCGGTGCAGAGTCTCTAGATGAGTTTACAGTAGTCCCTCGTTCTTATTAAACATCCATGTTGTAGTCCGCTGTATAGAAAACTGTAGTTTCCATAGTTTACCCACAGCAGCAGACGCACATTTATGACGTCCGTTGGCGCATCATAAACACGTCGGATAGTGAAAGTGCAGTCGGATTCTCTAAAGTACTCTCCTAAGTCCTTTTGAATTCTCCTAAATAAAACGAAATGTCTTAGCTCAGATACATTTGATCAGCTTTCATGTCCTTGAGGTGTGAGTCTGCACAGCGGGGTAAAGGTGTTTTAGAGTTTACAGTCACACAAGTGATAGTCCGCGGTATTTGGGTCCATTGTTCTTTAACTAAACGCCATATAACCACTACAATCCAATGTGTCTTTAAACAGAGCTACCACTCCCTCCAAAAAAAGAGAACCGCAAACACTGAAGGAACCCGCCCTGGAAATGCTGTGAGTACACACACCACACACCACACACACACACGCACACACACTCCAAAAACTGCTCTAAAATGACAACAGATTAATATTTTTAAAAACTTTTTGGGGTTAAATCTTTCAATCAACTTCAAAAATACCAAATGTTAAATTATGTTCAGGATTTTAACCCTTTAACTGCCAGTTGGAAAACATGAATTTGCGTTTTCTATGAAAAACATGCACAAAAAGGCAGTTCTTTTCCATATAATAAATGTTCGGGGGGTCGGCTTTTTTTTTATCACAGTCTTGGATATGTCAAAGATTAGCAACAACATTTATTTTGGTGGATTATTCGTTTTTGCACAGAATCAGATTAAACAAAAAACTCACATTAGCCACTCGCGGACAAAAATGTCCCATCCACTCCCATTATAACCACATCTTTTGATCTCTCCGCCATACCGGTATATAATCATGCATTTTGTAATGTCAGGGTTTTATATTGGAGGAAAATAGTTCAATTTGTCCTTTTTACTGTATATCACCAGATGTGACATTTTACCATTGAATTACATGCTTGTCATTTCTTGGTTTCTGGGCCTGTTGTATAATGGGGCCCTGACAGCCATTGGAATACATGTATGCAACTCATATGATGTAGGTGTGTTGGTATGAATGTGGAAGAGTGGTATCAGCTGAGAAATGTGTGTGTGTCTGGATGTACAGTGTGTGTGTACAGAGACAACAGTATACAGTAGATTTGGTTTACAGCAAGTCGCAGTTTTCGCCTCATATCTCTTTCTTTCTCTCTCTCTCTTTTTCTCTCACTCCCTCATTCCCAAACTCATACACACTGTTACATATTAAACCTCCTTATACATTGTTTGTGTGTGAGAATGAGACAGGACTCACGGCCCCTACACACGGCGGCGTGCGTTGACGCTTGCCGGCGGGCATGTCTGAAGCTAGACCAACAACCAATCACCTGAATATCCCGCCCCGGACACACAAGCAGCGGTTTGATTGGCTAGAGCTTGTACTGGCATATGATTCGATTGGCTGACGCTTCCGTCGAAGCTTCAAACGTAGAACATTGCTCTAGCTACGCTTTGCTCCCACAATGCAGTTTGGCGAAGCGTGACGTCACCCCATTCAAAGTGAATGGGCAGAAGCGTCAACGCACGCCGCCGTGTGTAGGGGCCCGTAAGTGTGCTCTCATAGCGTTTTGTTTTTCATTTGTGCTGTTTCATGTGTCTTGGAGGTAAACAGATGTATGATCTTGACCCAGCTTGACCTCGATGTTTTGAATTGTTTGGAACTTCAAAGTCTCTTTAGCAAACAGACATACACAGCCATACATACACTTCTTCAAGTACATAAAAACACCTGGCTGCAAAGCCAAAGCTTCAAATATGTGTAGTTTGGCTGGCTGGTCATTTCATTCCTGTGATACGCAACAACCAGTAAGATGAAGAGGAGCTTCTCTGTGGGACAAGAGGTCTCATGCAGCCCGTAACTTCAGCTGCAGGACTCATCCTCTGAAACAGAAACACCCTGAGAAGGAGAATCTGGTGTGGATCTGCCTGAACTGTGCTTGAAAGGAGTCGGCACAAAGATAAAACACTTTTTTGCTATGCGTTTTAAGTTTATTTTGTTTCTGGAAGACTGAAACTCTCCTATCATTCATAAAGAAAGATTTGGCCTGTGTGCAAACTAGCCAACTAATCAATCGCATTTTACATCCATTGTCCAAGGGTGGGCCCATAGTACCAGACCTGAAACAATCCCACTGACACACCTGAAACCTGTGTTAGCTGCTTATTGGAAGTCTGACCAAACCATTAAAATATGACAGATTTTACGCTGTTGATGTGTTCAGTGCTGAAGTGGATAATGAAACCTCTCCGATGCTGCCGGTCACCGCCACACCGAGGAGCTCCAAGAGAAAGTCGGCCCAGCTGGTGTCTTCTCGAATCAGAAAACAGCTGTGAGTGCAGAGAGCAAGTCATCCTTTTGCATTTTTCATTGCCCTGATTAATCAATTAATGTATTATCCTGGAAGATTTATGAGTACTAAAGCTTCACTGTCTGTTCGATCAGGAATCTTCTGGACGACCAGCAGGACCTGAACTCAGACGGAGAAGACGAGGACGAGGACGAGTTTGTTCCATCCAAAAGGGAACTCCAGAGCAGCAGTGAGGATGATGATGATGGTGGGGAAAAGGAGGAAGGGCTGGATAGCGATGATGAGGTGCTGGTTAAAAAGGGCAGACATGCTGCGGCAGGTTATTGTACTCCTCGCTCGAAGCAGAGAACTCGCACCTCCACCAGAACGCCGCAAAGAACTCCAAACAAGAAGGTACAAGTCCTGGAAACATCTCCAACAGACAGAATGTTTTCACTGTGTTTTTTTATTTTCTCACTTTGTTTCTTTTAACTTTGTTAGCAGATAACACCCAGTACACCACGGACTCCTCACCACGCCACTCCCAGCATCCCCTGCAGGTTGAGACCAGCCCAACAGCCTGCTAATGTTCTGGAGGAGGCTAGACTGAGGTGTGGTGCAACGTCATTTGACATGGCCAATGTTTGAATTTCTTTTATTCGTCGATTTAATATATTATTACTTGGTTAGTTTAATGTCTGTAAATTATTATTATTTTAAATTGCAAATTCCCAAAATTGCCTAAGTTGATGTCTTCAATTTCCTTGTTTTCGCCAAAGCAAAAAGTATTTTCCATGAAACAGAACTGCATACTCAGTAAGTCCATATGCCATTAATTAACCTTTATAAAGTTGCTGAGAAAATGGTAAAACAAACAAATTACCAATTATTTTTCCACTTAGTAAATTCTCAAGTTTTCTTTTAATTAAATGTTAATCATCAGGCAGATGATCTGCAGAGTTAACTGAACATGAATAACTTGTATTTTATTGTTATTTTATTATTTTATGTTTAATGTGAATCAATCTGTCTCTTCAGGCTGCATGTGTCCTCAGTGCCAGAGTCTCTTCCCTGCAGAGAGCAAGAGTTTCAGGACATCTACAGCTTTGTGGAGAGCAAAATTGTTGACGGCACAGGAGGGTAAGATCCAGATCCCAATCCTGCCTTTGGTCCCACAGTTGACAAGTCCCCAGATCTGTCACTTATATAGAAAAATAGGGGCTCTACTTCAAATGGCGGCTTTCTATAAGATCCATTCCCCACACCAAGGTATATATTTTTTTTTTGTTGCAAGTATTGTTTCGGTTCGGTTTTCGTACCGCAACAGTCGTTTGGGCACAGTCTTAGGCCCCGTCCACACGGACACGAAACGGGTTGTATCTGCTACGGTTCTCTATCGTATAGACGGTTCGTTCACACGAGGCCGACAGGGAAACGCGGATAGCGATAACGCATCCCAAAGTAGGTTGAGCCGATTCCGTGTGGACGGAAGACTTTTTTGATATCGAATTCGGTTCGTTTTCGTCTCCGTGTAGATGCAGCCTTATCCTGTTTGCATGTAAACTGATAAGCTGTTTCTGACGTCCTGAAGAAGTGAAACTACAAAAATGAAATAAGCAAACAAGATGGAATAACCCGAACATTTGAATGTATGTCCATTCCTTCAGTTTAAATCGGTCAATAATTATTTTAATTGTAAATCAGTGTCACTTTAATTTGAAGAAAAAATATTTTCGTGTATCCCTCATAAACAGTGCCAGTTCTTTAGTATAACGTTAAAATGTGCCGTTACTGTTGGCATTAATAAGATTGTAAACTGGTTATTTCACATTTATTTTTTAAATTATCACATTAACACATCTATACACTTTTTAGATATTGTTGTTTTATATTGTACAATTCGAACATTTGTGCTTACTTATGTTAATATATTATCTTTTATTGCACATTTTAACGATTTATTGTGCTGATTGTTGTTCTTTGTGTCTCAGATGTATGTACATCTCAGGTGTGCCAGGCACAGGTAAGACGGCCACCGTTCACGAGGTGATGCGCTGTCTGCAGCACGCCACCAACATGGACGAGATCTCTCCCTTCCACTTCATCGAGATCAACGGGATGAAGATGACTGATCCTCATCAGGCCTATGTCCAGATCCTGCAGGTGACAGCCGTGAACGCCACACCAAAAACAAAGGGGCATGCACAAATGATTTGATGTCGTACATTTTCTAAAGGTCAATCTGACACTGCTGTTGAAATAATATAACGGTAGAATAAACAATAACAATTTTGGGATAGAATTTTAAACCTGCCAAAATGTTGGGTGTCTTTACTTTGTTGAATTAAAGTTAAAAAAAACAAAGTCCACAAAAAATGGAACGGAAACATTTTATTTTTCTGAGATAATTTTAGAAGGGAGCGCTGCAGCCCAGTTATATGAAACTTACATTTAGGAAGTCAGAAATAAAACATTTTTTTCCTTTACAGGGCAAACACTCTGTAGATAGACACTGTAGATATGTTTTGCCTTTTCCCACATAATTTTCTTTATTCCCTGAGCCCATCAAGCGGACATTAACTCAATGTAAATATCCGTTTTAATTTAATTTTTTAGCTTTACAAAACTTCTTTCATTTTGTGACATTTAAGGGTTTAGAATGTGAAGGAAGATGTTTTTACTGTGTATTGAAATGGCCACTTCATACATTTTACACATGAAGTAAGAGGCAGTTGTACACACCCTAATAAGCCAGATGCATCATGGGAAATGTACCCAGGGTTTTGGTGTGTTCTGGTGGGTTCACTGACTGAGTGGTCTGGTCCTGCAGAAACTCACAGGTCAGAAGGCCACTGCCGACCATGCAGCAGCTCTGCTGGAGAAAAGATTCAGCAACCCTGCACCCAGGAAGGAGAGCACCGTGCTGCTGGTGGACGAAGTAAGTTCATATTAATGAGCTTTTATTTAGTTGCAATTGCCCCAAAACGTATAAATAACTATTTTTCAAGTATAAAATTAAATCAGCTGACATTTAATGTCTCAAATTGAAACAAACAATGAATGCATCTCCTAATAAACATTTATCAAAGCCTGATATATCTAATTCCTCTGTGCCATTGAGCGCCATTGTTGTAAAAAAACAATTAACCATTAATGGTCCCTGAGTGACATGTTCCTTTATTACCAAGACAACACTGTAGTTCATTCTGACTCACTTAATGAAACTACAGTTAGCAGCTGTTTCTAGAGAAATCACTCGGGCATTTTAAACAACAATAAACTTCTTAGTTGTTGTAGGAGCCACAATATATATGTGTAGTTTAAAACATTTGAATTGTATCGTTAAGTGCCAATATATATTCATTAAATTGCCATTTGTGCTTTGGTGTAAGTGAATGCATTATTATTATATTTCTTGTGAGAAGCCAACATTGATCCTGGACCGGGGCTACACCCCATATTTTCCATATACCATAAGGTCAGGAATGCAGAGCTCAGGGGAGCTCAGGGATGAGCCGTGACGCAGTTTTTTCTTCTTCTTTTTTCTCTCGCATTTTTGATATAAATAAGCCTTCTTTATTCACTATTTTTTGTTTTTCCTATGGTAGCTGTTGTCAACTACCTAGGGTGGATATACATGAACATTTAGCTTAAAAATGTTACATTTATTTTTCAAACATGTCGGATCCTCTCTTCTATTTTTATTACTGCCATCAAAGGCGTGTCAACTGCTAACTGCATACGTTCTCCTGGAGACTCAGTTTGTGTACAGCTGTGTTTATGAAGAACGAGGTCCTGAGTACGTACCAAGGGTCAGAAGCTGAGAGCGGGGGATTCGGGATGGACATTGATGTTGTTTGCTCTGGTGCCAGGTCTACAGCAAACACTTGATCATTAACAGATGTTGACAGAATGTGATTACAGGTTGTCATCTTACACATTTCACCCATTGGTTTAAAACGGGTTAACAGTTTCAGTTTTTTTTTTATTTGAGCATTTCATGAATGTAGTAATGTGACTTGCACATCTTTCTTGCCATTTCTCAGTGCACAATGAAGTGTCAAAAATCTGTAAAGATTTCACTAAGATAGAGAGAAAATATTCTTATAGGAATTATATTTTGAGGAAAATATGTAATTACAATATTATGATGTAGGACAGGAGTCACCAACCTTTTTTAGGGTGAGGGCTACTTTTAAAAAAATAAAACAAGTCGGGGGCTACTTTTACACATTTTAACATTATGATATGCTGACCTTTAACCTTTGTTTGCTGTTTGGGTCTGTGGGACCCGTTTGCAGTGTTTACTAAAAGAACATGTATGCAATCTAATTATTTTAACCTGCTTTATTTGGGGGTGGACGGGCCTCACCTCCTCTAGGGGGGTCCTCACCTCCTCTAGGGGGGGCCTCACCTCCTCTAGGGGGGTCGGGGGGTATGCACCCCCGGGAAGATTATTTTTTAATGTTGAAGTGAAATGCATCAATCTGGAGCACTTTGAGCACAACATGAATTGATGGATACAGCTCTCAACACTCAGATGAAAGAGAGCTGTATACTTTTCAATAATCCAAACATCTTTAGAATATGATCACAACCAATAACAAATCATTTAAACTTGTTTATTCTTATCTTATGTTACCTAGTTAGCATTCTTTCTTTTTATTTATGCTTATTTTACTAATCACTCCCCTTTCAAACTGTTTTTTGATTGTTTTACTGTCCTATAGTACACATTGGAATGATTTCTTACTTTATCTATATTAAATAGATAAAGGTATGTTCTCCCTAGCTCTCTCTCTCTCCCTCCCTCCCCCCAGCTCTCTCGCTCTCTCTCTCTCCCCCTCTCCCTCCCTCCCTCCCTAGCTCTCTCTCTCTGTCTCGCTCGCTCACAGAGGCTGTGAGCTCCTTCGTGGCGATCGACGGCTTGCGTTTAAAAAAAAAAATAATAAACATATTTTTAAAGTGGGGGGGCACAAACGGGATTTCGAAAAGAGCGGGGGACATTTCCCCCCTGTCCCAGGTGGAAATTACGCCATGCGTGTGTGTACGTCAAGTGCAATAAATATATATGCAAGTTGCAACACACAGAGTAAAACTCTGCCCCTCATGTGTTGTATAGGCTGGCATGATAGGCTGTTCAATGGGGCTGATGTGTTGTGTAGATTCTGCCAGAAGGGAAATCAGCAGGGAGGTGCCACATTGCTTTTCTTCCCGACTGCAACGCTCGTCCCGCAAATCAAGCAAGAACGTGATTGGTAGATATTCATTGTGGGGGTGGGGGGAGGAGGGGTGTTAGATAGATATAGAGTTGTAGTAAGTAGATAGAGTTCGCTATGATTTAGGTTTCGTTTATGCATAGGGTAGATTCTTTTAATTACATTTCCTTTTTTGTTTTGTGTATTTTATACATTTTGGATTTGCTTGGCGAGCTATTTTTAGAACATGCCCCGCGGGCGACTCACGTTGCCCCTGCGGGCGACCAAGTGCCCGCGGGCACCGTGTTGGCTACCCCTGATGTAGGATTATTCACTAACTTCCTGATGTTAAGCAGGTTAGAATGTTGTGTGCAATCAAACATACTAATAAGCTTTTAGAACCAGAAGAAACTTATAGATAGATATATAGGGAATATTTGCAGCTATGAAACAAAATCCTCAGACAGCTGTGTGCCAACTGTGAAGCTGGGACCAAAGTATATGCTTTAAAAACATTTCCCTCAGAGGCTGATAATGATATTTGGACACTTGAAAAATAGTAATTGATTTTAATATAGACCTGTACATAACTTATTTTTACAAGAAAATGTTATATATTTTGGAACTTAAAAAGAAAGTCTTTGATTACCTACACATTCATCGTTTCCTTTTTGCCCACCATAGTATCATTTTGAAACTTTTTTACTATATGAATACAAAAGGCCTAGTTGTTCGGCCCTAATGTTGGTACCAGAAGATGGATGTGATCACGTGACGGCATGCTAACCATCTTTAACCCCTTGTGTGGTACAGTTGGACCTGTTATGGACCAGGAAGCAGAACGTCATGTACAATCTGTTTGACTGGCCGACACGGCGCCACGCCCGCCTGGTGGTACTGACCATCGCAAACACCATGGACCTGCCGGAGAGGATCATGATCAACAGAGTGGCCAGCAGACTGGTGAGAGAGAGCTAACCCTGTCCTGTGGAGCACTTTAATCAGCTCTGGGATCAGTTTACACTTTCACTGCTGTTTTGTTTTCTTGTCTAGAGGATGTAATTCTAATTTTGTCAAAAGTGAACATGGGTTCTCAAATTGAGTCGAAATATTGAGAAATTCTCATATTTTTTAAAATCCGAAGGTTGTACAAGTACCATAAGTTTATTGGGTTGCCAGTGACAATTTCTTTCAGGCAAAAACATATATTGCTTGTCAACAAAAAATAAAACATCACAACAGATCTTGCATTTCAATTGGGTCTATCAATATTTCCAAGTGCAGACAAAGAAAAACAACATATAACCCTTTTCTGACAAAGTTGTTCCGGTGCCCGACTGCGAATCAGTTTTTTGCGGGTCCACTGCAGCGAGGCCAAAACTGGTTCGCATTTGGAACAGACAATCTGCTGGGCCGGAACAGAGAACCGCATACGTAAAAGGGTTACGTCGGACGTTGGGGCCAGATTAACCCGAGCAATAACAGTATGATTTAAGCAGTAGAGCAGGCGTTTTTGTACATACATTATTTTTTCACTTGTTATGACTATCTGCTCGCTATCGATTGCTTGTTTTGAAGAGCAGCATACTGTTTCAGCGGCATAAGCTGCTTTTCTCTTGTTAAACAGTGTCAATTGAAATGTTTTAAAACATTTACTTATTTGGAAATATGCATCGGGGGACGTTGCTTGTGTCAGTCAGACAGTGATTTACTGCTCTGTTCTGCGTTGTTGTTGTGAGCAGCATTACCGAGAAGACAGCGATGTAAACAGTGATTTCATGATGTGGCACAACTTGCGCTCCGGGAGGTGGTAAACCAAACTGAACCGAACTGAACTGATTTTCTGGAAAAGGGGTAATAGAAAAGCATTTTTTTCCCCTCAATTGAATCCAAAAAACAAAATAAGAATGTTCCACAATATGTTCAGTTGAAATTACTTGAGAAAAACAATTTAATAGTGAATCAAAACACAGGTTATTGCTCAAAGGATTTACTTGAAAGCCACACATGTAAATTCATGGAACTCCAAGAAGAGTACAATATGTGTCATTAACTCCAAGCAATTAATTGTTGGGGGTTTTAAGCTTCAGGACAAAGTGGACAAACAGTGGGTTTTTTTTAATCAAGTGTTTTTATTGAACATTTTCACTTCACATTGATCATAAAAAAGAAGAACGAGCAAGGAGCAAAAATAGATAGCAGATACACATCAGGGCATCTTCCTACAAAGGTTCTTCATTGAGTCCCATTACATGTTTCAAAATAAATTACATCTGCATGTTTTTAAAATCAAATTAATATACACTAAAAGAAAAATAAGCATACACATGTCACATGAAATCGCAAAATCATATAAAGGCTGCTGTGGCGTTCTCCCCTTCGAGAAATTATAAAAAGCTTCTCCAAATCCTGTCGAAGGTAGAATATTTATCCTTAAGCACAAAGGCAAAGAGCAAGGGAATTTGAGAGTCCACCAAGCCAGACCGGCAAACTCGGTTTATGGTGTGCTTTGCTTGAAATAATTAGCAGACAGTCATTTTTTTTATCAGACTTGCTTAGTTTGCAGTTTACAGGAAAAATACAGAGAATGCATCATTTAGGGCATAATGACAATTTCAGACCTGTAACATAGGAAAAGATGTTAAGAACTTCCTTCCAGAAAGCCTGAATATACGGGCAGACTCATAAGAAGAGTACCTTTTTTTTATTTCCATATTTAACACATGAATCTGGGATATTGGGATCAAGTTTATTCAGTAAAGTTGGTCTCATATATGTAAGTTCTCATTAACCACTTAAATTGGATTAATTTAAAATGGGTGTTTATGGATTGTGTTTGAGCCTCCAGACATGCCTTCTGCCATTCCACTATTCTTCAACCAAAATGACACTATTTAGGTTCTCACTCCACACCAGTCTTTTATTTTCTGAGGAACCTTGAGAACCATCCAATATAACTCCATAGTAACGAGAAATGAGGCCTCTCTTGGAGTGATGGTTTACTATAATTTCTTCCATAGAGGTGAGAGAAGGAATGGATAAGGATTTTTGCGTCTTGGATATGAAGCTTCTGATCTGCAGGAACTTGAATATGTGTTTATTCTGAATGTCATATTTCCGTTGTAAATCTTGGAAAGACATAAGAATATTTGTATCGAATAAATCTCCAATCTTACATAAGCCTTTATCGGCCCAGAATTTAAAGTCCATATCTTTCTTACCAGGTGTAAAGTTACTGTTGCTTAGATTGGCGAAAATTGGGATAGTATTAGTTTCATCTCTGTATTTATGAACCTCATACCGAACCTGTATTGTATTTTTGAAGAAGGGATTCTGCGTACATTTCTTAAGTTCTTTGAGTTTAGCCGAGTACAAATATAGGCTCAGTGGTAGAGGAGATGTGTTATATTTTTCAATGCTTACCCAGGATACTGGTGTTTCTAGTGAGAACCAGCAGGAGGCAACAAAGAGTTGGGCTGCACAATAATACCATTGAAGATTTGGTTGTGCCAGACCTCCTGTCTCATAGGGGAGATACGACAAAGATATAATGAGCCTAGCCCTTCTATTATTCCAGATGAACCTGCAAAACATGCTTTTCATTTTTGCAAAAAAGTTAGCAGGGGGACTAAGAGGAATGGACTGAGAAAGGTAAAGGAATTTCGGGAGAATGTTCATTTTAATAATATTTATACGACCTATCATGGAAATTGTTAGATTCAACCTTCTGTCGATTGATTCTGTCACTGACTTAATTAATGCTTCGTCATTTGCAGATACTAAATGATCAATATTTGGCGACATTTGTATGCCTAGGTAAGTAAAGCTTTCCAAGATCACTTTGAACAGTGTTTGAATAGGTGGATTCAATCTGTCTGCAAGCCTAAGGAAAAGAATAGCAGATTTTGATATGTTAAGTTTATAACCTGAAAGCTTAACAAACTTGTCAATAGGGTCAAGGAGGTTGTGTAATGGCTGTTCTAAACGGGATATAAACACAATAATATCATCCGCGAATAATCCAATTCTATTCTCCATATTATTTATATAATGCCAGGCTTATTTTGATTACTTCTATTAGTACAAATACAAGTGGGGAAAGGGGGGCAGCCTTGGCGCGTGCCCCTGGCAAGATTGAAACATTTGGATATTATATTATTAGTGGTCACCGAAGCTATTGACTTATTATATAATATTTTAATCCTGGTAGAGAAATCAAAGCCAAAGCGAGAAAGCACTTTGTGGAGAGGGTGTTCTACCCGATCGAAGGCTTTTTCCACGTCCAAAGACAGAAGTGCTGTGTCTGGGTGCTCTGACTATAGGCATGAATGATATTTAGGACCCGACGGACACAGTGAAAGGCCTGACGCCCCTTGACAAAACTATTGGTCAGGATCGGAGAGAAATGGGAGGTATTTCTCCAGCCTACGTGCTAATACTTTCGCCAATATCTTAGCGTCAGAGTTAATTAGTGAGATTGGTCGATATGAACCACATTCTGTTGGTGATTTCCCAGACTTAAAGGTGGGGTATGTAATTTTGGAGAAACCAGCTCGAGTGTGCTAGAATTTGAAACTACGCATCCGAAAAAATGCCTCTTCCTTCAGACTTCCTTACAGAGCCCCTCCTCCAACACACATGAACGCGCACATGACCAATGAGGGCACAAGATAAGTTTGTGCACAGATGGAAGGCTGACAGGCAGGTAGGCCATCCAGTTATTTTAGCCGGGCCGGCTCAGATGATTGGTCGTGCTTTTTACAGCGCTACGGCTTCCACAGATGAATTTTTTTAATGTATTTATTGTCAAAGCATTTAATATATTCATTGCTATCGGGATGTTAAGAGCATTCCATGGAATATAACAAAAAGTGTTTCTGAAATAAATTACATACCCCACCTTTAAGAATCAAAATTACGAGAGCCTCACGTAGGGATGGGGGAAGTTCACCCGATTGAAAACTATCCACCAACATAAGGGAGATATTTATTTTTAAAGATTTTCTATACATCTATTGGGAGCCCATCAGGACCAGGGGCCTTGCCTCCATTCCGTTTATCAATTGCATCAGAGAGTTCACCCTTACGGGCCGTCTCCACGGCAGCGTTAAAAAATCTTGAAACGCTTCTGCCCATTCACTTTGAATGGGGTGACGTCACTTTTTTTCGCTTTCGCCGAAATGCATTGTGGGCAGGCGAGCGGAGATTCTCAGGATTTTCAAGATCCAAAGTTGAACAATGTTCAACTTTTGAGGCTGAGGTGGAAGCGTCAGCCAATCAAATCCCGTGTACGCAAATCTGACAGTTCAAGCTCTAGCCAATCAAACGGCGTGTATGCTGGGAGAGAAATACCGCAGGTCATTTCCTCATATTCCAAAAAATGGAGGAGAAATTAGCGGTAGCGAATCAATCACCCGGTGCTTTATGACCAGACCTACCGGGATATAAACCGGAGGAGCCAGGCATGGAGGGAGGTGGCAGAGACAGTGGTAGGTTTTCGCCTGTTTTGGGGAGTTTATATCCAGTTTACTTCGGGCTTTTTTGCTTCGTATGTCGCGGGCGGGAGATTCATGTGATTGGTTGCTCGCAAAAAATCCTCAAGCTTCAGATACGCCCACCTCCAAGATTTTTTTAACGCTGCCGTGGAGACGGCCCGTTAGTGAAGAAGGTCAATCCCCCTGGTGGAGGACAGGGGATCTGCACTTCCACAAGATTAAATGCAAATATAATATAAATATAATGCAAAAAAAAAACGAATTTTCAGCCTTGATGTAACAACATTCATAATTAAGTAAAGATAACACCCTTTTCACCCCGGTTACATTTTCCATTTGCCCTGTACGATGGGCGCTGTAAGTGATGAAAGTGGGGGATGTTGGCTTATCAGGCGCCGCAGCTCACAGCCAAAGTGAGAGAGAGAGAGAGAGATAGATAGATAGAGAGAAGGGGTGCACCGGTACCGG